AATTTTCTCCCTTCACAAATAGTTTCGAATCCAAAAAGGAATGCAAATGTTAGCGTTATATCTCTAAAGTGAGGCAAGCAACTGGGTTAGCCTAAGTAAGCTGCAGTTGAGGCTAAACCAACACCGAAAAAAGAGAAGACAACACAGGAACATGAAAACAATGATCAGTCTGACATTTCCATTCCTCTCCCTTTCCCTCGAAGAACCATTTAGTCCAATTCCAAAGCAGGAGAAGCAACAAGTTGACAATGAGCCTGAAGTACCCATTCCTTTACCCTTCCCTTAGTGAGCCATCAAGCCCAAGAAGTTTGCATAAACAACACAAGAGATGGAAATCCTAGAGACATTTAGAAAGGTTGAAGTTAACATCCCTTTCTTAGATGCGATCAAGGAAATTCCAAAATATGCCAAGTGTAACACCCCGTGTATACCCGAATTGTTATCATATTACGGTATTAACCGCAACTCAGTTAAAGCGGAAGCTAACTTTTTCTTTTCAATTATGATGTCATCATCATTAACTAAGTTGATTCCAAGTTGATTACTTATTCATTTTTCAACATATCTCTTGCTCAACAAGCCAAGTACTACAAATCATATCTCATGTGATGTATGCAAATGCGATTCAACTGACCAGGGAATATAATAGGATTTATGCACGTCTGCGACCTATCTAAACATAAGGGTCGCAACCGTATGCCTTACACACCAGGGTCGCAGCTTGATCGTGTAAGTAATCAACATCACATTCATACATTACATCAACAGTTAAATTAACATATCTCAGGCATATATCAATGCATATTTCATCTTTCATAAAAGCATACATGCATATAAACCACCCTCCCATGGAGGTTGGTGGAACAATCAACAAATCAATCCGAGGACATGAGTGCTTACCTCGCAAGCTAAACCCTCCCTCACGACTCGGTGTCCAAAGGGTCACAACTAATAACAATGTCCAGCAATGTCACAGATCTATTTTCATAACATTCATACTATCAAAAAACATATCATAGCTTTTCATATTTAAAACGAACATTATTTCTTTTTCGTTTCGCTTACTGCGGGCTCTTTCCAAAGCCACAAACACTAAACTGTCTTTACCATTTTTAAGACTGCAATTTCATCTCTTCACGGAATATTCTAATATTTTACTATGTTAAAATAGACATCTTAAGGTTTCCAACGATATACTTTATGTCTCAATCGGAGTTGTATAGCTCCGGTTATGTTTTTCGCAAAGTGACTGCTGCAAACTGAATTCCCAGCAACCAAGTCGCGACTTCAAACTAACATTGAGGCCAATCCACTTATCCAATGACTATGAAATTTTATAGTATCCCTATGTGTTAGCTTCACATAGGTCCAAACCTCACTCAATTTGGAGCTCTGTAACTTGAGATATCGCAATTTTACTAAACTAGGTCGTTGTTGTCACCTTTGAATGATAATCGATTATCACTCAAAGGTAATCGATTACCACCTGTGCAAAAATGAAAATTTTTCTGCATAATTCGAGCTCCAATGGCCTCCCAAGGTTCCCACCTTCGATTTACCCACAAACAGAAGTTCAAACTACCATATTACACTTAAATTAACAACCTTTTACTTGAATCATCAAAGTTTTCCTTTTTAAAAGGCTCAAACAAGCCTTGTTCATGAATTTAAAAAGGAAAAGGTGAGGGGTTACCTATGAGCCTTTGAAGACAGAAAAATGGGGGAACTTTGAGGACTTTGAAGGTGCTCCAAGCTACTGACTTGGTGGTGCACGAAAATCCCACTCCAATGTATGTTCTTTCTTCACAAAAGTTGGTTCTTTGAACTTACAAGGAGGTATTCATGGCTCACACACTAAGAACATCAAAGTCAGCCCTTCCTCCCCGTAATGCAGAAACTAAAACTCCTAAGACCAAGCCTTTACTTCACAAGACTCAAGTTTTACAAGGTTTAATGATGGTTCAATGGAATAAGAGTGAAGAAGTATGAAGAAAGTTGGGTTTTTGACCAAATTCTATGCACAAGATTCAAACTTTCTCAAAAAGGGGAAGGTGGCAGCCATGGAGGATCAGCCTAGGGATTAGAAACCGATCTAGAGTTTTGTGACAGTTACTATTTATATAAGTGTAAACATTAATCCATAGTATTAGTTCTAATAGCTCCGCTAATATTTTTAATCTCAAACTTCATATTCTGAACCTAGCCATTTTTCTAGGATTTGTCATATTTTTATTATAATTTTCGTAGTACTTTGCTGATACGCGTTTTATACGTAACCGATATTAGTTCTGACACCAACACTCATTATTAAGACTTCAAACTTGATATTCTTGACTTAAATATTATTCTAGGAATATTCATGTACTCGTTATAATTTTTTGGGATACTTCACCGGTATGCACTTATACCGTAAAGCAAAATCGGTATCTGCACTTTTCGTCAGAAAAACGACTTTCAACGTTATTAAGCCATTATAATAATTATTTAAGTCTTCTCATAATTATTCAAGGTCAATTATGAATTTATTTCCTAAACTCTTAATTAATTATTTAAATTCCTAATTTAACGGTGCAGGTTCTTACACCAAGTTTTTGAAGGAGCTATGCACCAACAAGAGGCAATTGATTACTAGGTTGAGTTATTATATTTGCTTAAGTTTTTGTCGATTTCTGTATTTAACCAAAAACTCTCAATACTGTACTTTTATTTGTCATTCTTAATTCTTTAATACTCTGAGAAATTTCTAATTATTCTGATTACTAGGTTGGGTTATTATATTTAGCTTTTGTCTCAATATATTAAAATATGGCCTAAATGGTGTTTAATATTTGATTTTCAACAATGTGATGAGTTTATATCTAGGGACCTCTATCACATGTTTATGTAGGAGTATGAATGATTAGATAGCCGTTTATAGCCGTTAGACTCCTAATTTTAAGTAATCACGTACTTCTATATCAATATGTGAATATTCGTCAGGCTCATATCCGGATATCCATATCCAAATATCACAATACCCATATCCGGATATTTCTGCATAGCAGCCCTATATGGTCCAATTTCAATCCAAATGATTTCTTCATGAATTCTACTTACTTCTTACATATGTATGCATGCTTCTATCATCATTCTAACAATGTTTCATGTGTGTGAGTCAATGTATGTATGGATCATGTATGTAAGTCACTTGTGTGTGAGTTTATGGCTTCTAAATGCAACCTTAAGAGTTATAGCTCAATAAACTCAACTTTCACACTTCCTAAGACTAAACTATACTATTACAACAGTATTAGCACATGTATTCAATCTTCTTCATTTTGTCTTCCATCTTTGAGTAGTTTTGAGTTATTCTTCTTTCAAAAGCTTTGACCTTAGAGTTGACTGCCATAGCCTTCTAACCTCATTGGGGACTTGTTGCACTGCCTTCAATGTTGTGCAAACATGTTGAGCTAGTTGGTATTTTGTAATCATCAAAACTTCACTTTCTTGGTCTTGGAAACCTATTAATGAAAGATAAGAATTAAAACTGAAATCCCATGTACCATAAAAAATTAAAATCCCAAGTTTTAGCACATACTAGTCATAGTCCAACGAGCACAATATTTCCCAAACTCAAGTTAAAATGAAAACCCTAATTTCAGTATTGATAAAGAGCTGTCGTCAACAAAAGACATGTACACTGAGTTTGTTATGAGGTTAGGGCTTCACAAGTGGTCAGTTACTAGAGAAAAGGTCGAATGCATTGTAAAGATAGTTTTATTGCTTAGGTAGGGCTCACAGGGGTTTCCACTTCTTTCTTTGTTTGATTCTCCACGAGTATATGAAAGATAAAATGATTCTAGGTTTATGAAATAGAAATGGTTTCTCTTTTTCTAGATCATCCTAAATGGCTAAATCACGTGATTTTATCGTTATTCCGATGTTGCTCGACGATCCTAGCCGAACCAAATCCTACAACCGAGTTAAATCGTCCTTGTCAGAAGAACTTGTTTGTGCGATCCTATGAGTTGGAACACAATTTTAACTACTTGCTCTCAGGTATCTATGAGGGAGATACCTTAGAGGATAACAGATCATTGTGCACTGTAGAGAACGACATAGCCAGAGTGTGGGGGTATTTGCACAGTGACAACTAAAAGATAGAAAATTAAAAAAGTGCGTATCTATGGCTTAACCTCTTATTTATAAATAATTACTTGATAAGTGTGGAATTTTGGACCTCTAAGGAATATTGAGAACCTAATATCTCATTCGCTGAAGATATTGTAAGATTGACATCTTAGTGTGCAGATTCTTTCCTTATTTTTCTATTTGTTAATTATCCTTTTGTGGCTATTAAAGTATAAGCCCATAAGTTAGGTCTATAACAAATACCATAATGCAATTCTGGTTTCTTCTTAGGAAATATGATTTAAAGCGAATGAATCTTTTCATATCTTATTTGGTATGACTTAAGACAAGTTTATTGATCTAAAGTAATATTAATAATTATTTTCATTCTCTATTTTAATATTTTTAACTTAAATATTATAATTTTATAATTTATCTATGAACAACCAATCGTGTCACATATGAGGATTTATTTCCAATTTAGAGTACGTGGATAAAACTGATCACATAAAAGAAAATATCTTCGGTACTACAGATGTACCGACCACCGACCACTTGATACATCCTTTACTAAATATGTAAGAAAATAACATATTTACATTATACTTACATATCCCTATATTTTTTTCCTTTTTTCATAAAAATGTATCTACTCTCGTTGTACCAAAAATTTGTTCCCTGTAGAGGCCGATATGATTGAATGTGGGCCATATGAATGTTGGGCCGGCTTAATAACCAGAAGAATATTCATACATGAAAGCTTCACAGACAGCTTAACAAAGTTCAAGACTTCAAGGCCCAATCGAATGACCCGAACGGGCACTTCGACCCGGATCATCATGATTACGCTAACCAAACATGTGGCAGAGGATAACCACCTCAACTACACAGAAACCTGTCTCTTAAAAAAACTGATCAGTTACGAAGGGAAATAGCCATAGCCATAGCCATAGCCATGGCTACTCTGAGCTTCAACACCACCAGAATCAGAACCCCAACGTTCAAATATTCCAACCCCATCTCCAAATTCACCTCATGCACCATTTCTTCCAACAAAAAAAGAAACCACCCAAAACTCATTCACTTTCGAACCTGTTCGGTGTCTGAGAGCTCAGTGTCAACCGAGAAAGAAGAAGAAGAAGAAAAGGAAGAGGTTTTTGAAGATGAAGAAGACGACCCAACTGCGGAAATGAGCTATCTTGATCCAGAAACTGACCCTGAGAGCATATCAGAGTGGGAACTGGACTTCTGCTCCAGACCCATTCTTGATATCAGAGGGAAGAAGGTTTGGGAGTTACTTGTTTGTGACAACTCCCTCTCTTTGCAATATACAAAGTATTTTCCAAATAATGTCATTAATAGCATTACTCTCAAGGATGCTATTGTTACCATTTCTGACGAGTTGGGTCTCCCATTACCTGAAAAAATTCGCTTCTTTAGGTAACTAAATATTTGTCATTCTATGTTAGGTTTATAGGCATGCATTTGTGTGTGTGTGTTAAGACACTCTTTTTAATCAGTGTCCTTGTTAGAGTAAGGAATTATGATTAGGTGTTTTGTTGCTTTGTAGATCACAGATGCAGACAATTATTACGAAAGCGTGTAAGGAGCTTGGCACAAAACCTGTTCCTAGTAAACGGGTGTGTATGACTTCAATTTTTAACTGTGACTGCGAAATTTAAGTGCTTAGCAGAAAACTATAGGCTTCCCTGCTGGTAGAAATGAGTTAGTTTGAATAATGACTGATAGACCCTACCTGGCAATAAGCCTACACGGTCTTTTAATGTGACTGACAAAGCTTGAATCGAAAAACTTAATTTGTTGATTAGATGAAGGTGCCAATAATAGTTTGTGTCTATGTACTATTAAAGGGAAGAAGTAGTAAGTAAACCTTCAATTTAATTATTTAACTAATAAAAAGGGCAACCCCTCTGCACAAGGCTCCCTGATTTGCAAGGATAGGGAAGAGGGTCACTTGTAAGCAGCCTTAACCTTACATTTTTGTAAAGAGGTTATTTCCCAAACTCAAACCAATAACCTTTCGGTCACAAAGAATAACCTTACCGCTGCTCCAAGGCTCGCCCTTTAATCACTTATCTACTACATCAACATTAATATCACATTTATCTCAAACTAGTTGTGGTCGGTTAATCACTTATCCACTAATTGAAAAAATTAAATTAAATTAATTTTTTAAGTTTTGTGAATAGATATTAATTGCAGTATCCCATGATGTAGAAAATTGTCAACAATGGCAAGAGGAAGCAATGCCAATTGCTATATATCTAATACTTAGCGTTAGCTGACTTAGAGCATGTAAAATTTGGTTTATTTCGCCTTGTTTCATTTTCAAAATTGCCCAGAATGTGGTCTGTATGCAAGTTTTCCCAAATTAATTTCACCTCTTGGATGTTATCTGTGGGGTGAAAGTGAAATGCCTCTGTTACTTACGTGCATAAAATGAGGAAGTAGAAATTCCATGGTATACTTAGCATCTTATATTTGTAAATTGTAACCATTTTCTGAGTTCAGATATCCTTCTCAGGGGTGCCCCAGCATATATTTTATGTGGTTTTTCTGATCCTTTTCAGTGCTTGTCGTTACTTCTATGGCTAGAGGAGCGCTATGAGACAGTATATATGAGGCATCCTGGATTTCAAAAAGGATTCAAGCCTCTTTTGGCACTAGATAATCCTTTTCCCATGGAACTTCCAGAGAATCTTTTCGGGGAGAAATGGGCATTTGTCCAATTACCTTACTCAGGTATAGAGGCAGCAGCTTGCATGTCATCTGTTTCACAATTGCTTGACAAATTGATAGCCTTCTCTTTCTCTCTTTTGATAATTAGTTTCTCTCAGGCACAGATTTTTCGTTTCATTTATCAATGTCCTTAGTTTGTTAATACTAGTTTAAATAAGAGATACTAGCTGCATTACATTGATTATAATGGTCACATTTTCAAAATCCCAAGGCTTTTCCTGTTACTTTTATCACAAGGCTAATATGTATGTTTAATACTTTGAATTATTTTAGTAGGATATACCTCTCTAACTTTCAATAATCTATTTTAAAGCTGTTCAAGAGGAGGTATCATCCTTAGAGTCAAGCTTTATTTTTGGTGCTGGGCTAGATCTTGACTTATTGGGTATCGAAATTGATGACAAGACATTGATCCCAGGACTGTCTGTTGCATCTTCTCGTGCTACAGCATTAGCAGGTATTGAACCACAGATTTCCATATATATTCATCTTGTGTCCCTTACCAACAGATTCTTTGTATTAATTCATTAAGAACTAGTTAGGTTTAAAAATGATTTTTATGCATGGAATTAATGAATTACCTAGCTGGTGACAATCTGTCAGATCTTGTATGTATCAAGCAATTTGATATGAGTTACTGAAATATGTTGCCAGTCAGCATTAACATTTCCTCTACCTGAGTAACAATGCATATATAGGTCCATATTAAAGTCATACAACAAGGTTGTTGAAGAACTAAAACCTGTCTTGAGCTCAAACAGTATGCAGCACCGAACTGCAGACACTAATGATGTTATCATACGCTTCTAATGCACTAGAGTACATCCAATCTTTAACAATTTGCTAGCTAAGGGAAATATGAAGCTCATATACACATTAACCAGAGTTTGGACTATAATTTGGTCAATTAGCTTACCAAAATTGTGCAAAATTCTATATAACTGTTGACAAAAATGCTGGATTGCGTCCTCAATAAGATTTGTGGACTAATAAGGCTAAATAGTGAAATAAGCGTTTTTGTCTTAATGGAGTATGCTTCTTGGGTGTTAACTTTTACTTGGTGGATATTCTTAAACATTCATGGATAGCAGAACGCTGTGAACTTGGTTCACCAAGTATATTTGAGACCTAAAAACCTGGTTCTTTTAGCAGTATTGTAGCATTTTGCCTCCTATAATTGTCATTTTCTTTTATCCAAAAAAAAAAGTGTCTTCTATATAGTCCTTTTAATATAGAAACCCCTCACCATTTACTGCCACAGCTTGGATGAATGGATTGGAGGTTTGTTCTGTGGAAGCAGACACTGCTCGAGCTTGCCTCATTCTAGCTGCTGGAATTTCTACTCGGTATGTATATGCCACATATAACAAAACTCCTGTGACAACTACTGAAGCTGAAGCTTGGGAAGAAGCTAAGAAAAGTTGTGGAGGTTTGCATTTCCTTGCCATCCAAGACGACTTAGATTCTGAAGATTGTGTTGGCTTCTGGCTTTTGCTAGACTTGCCATCTCCACCTGTATAATCTTACAAATGACTATGGTTGAATGTTCACTGAACAGGAATATTATGATAGAATTATGAGATTCCAGAAGTTTTTCTTTGACCCCAAATCAAATTCTACCTAAATTGACCAACTATTGTTTTGCTGCATTGCCATTCTCAACCTTTTACTAGATTTTTTTTTTTTTGGTGAATTTTACTAGATTTTAACCCTTTTAAGGGCCCGTTTGGATGGATTTTTTTTATCCAGAAGTTGCTTTTTTTTGTTGAAAAAAAGCACTTTTCATTTTTAGTTCGTTTGGATGTCTGCTTTTAAAAAAAGCAGAAGTCACAAAAAAAGTTAAAAACCTACTTTTTTGTGAAACTAAAAATTTTAACTTTTAAAAAAAGCAGAAGTCAAAAGTCAAATATTTTTTTTCAAAATCTAAATATTTTTATAAAATTATAAATAGCTTTAACTTTTGTAAAAGAGACTTCTAAAATAAGGAAAAGATAAAAGTTACTTTTTTCAAAAGTGCAAACAAACGGGCTCCAAAAAATGTAGGCTCGGAGAATATTGAAACCTATTGTTGCTTTAACAAAACAAAGGGTACAAAATCTACCAAAAAATAAATAAAAATAAAGGGTTCAAATTTCAACTTGTTATTCATTTGTTTTGCTTGGTGTTTTTTGTTGAATGGAAATGGCTAGTGGGTGGAGCCAGGAATTTCAACTTGGAGTTGCAAAAACCAATTTTATAATTTTTTGGGAGCCAAAAATGAAATTAAATGAAAAATTATTAAAAAAACAAAAACTTTACAAGATGGTGTTGAGGCGGCTCTTTGACTAATTGGGGTTTTTTTTGTGATTCTAATTTATCAATTTGATATTTGGTTTAAGGTATTTACCAATGGAGGTCATTTAGTGACGCGGGGGGACCCAACGTCACTGAGTGCCGCTACAATCCATCCGCGTCACTCACATTTTTTTGTTTTTATTTTTATTTTTATTTTTATTTTTATTTTTTTTCTATTGAGTGTCGCCCCTCCCCTGGGGCACTCACAGAATTGTGCCAAGTGGCACAATTTTGTTACTCCTATTACCGTAAAACTTCGGAAAGCCATAACTTTTAACTCGGGTATCTAAATCAGATGCTTTTTTTTTATTTCACATAACTTTTGGAGATCTACGCAATGACATCTCATTTGACATATTTTATCTTTCACAAACATAATTCAAATCTGTAAAAAAGTGTAATTAGTGTTGCAAATTTGAACTATATTAATAGAAGATAAAATATATCAAATGAGGTGTCATTGCGTAGATCTCAAAAAATTATGTGAAATCAAAAATAAAATCATCTGATTTGGATACCCAAGTCAAAAGTTATGGTTTTCCGAAGTTTTACGGTAATAGGAGTAACGAGATTGTGCCACTTGGCACAATTCGGGGGGCCCAGGGGAGAGGGCGACACTCAATAGAAAAAATAAAATAAAAATAAAAAAGTGTAAGTGACGTGGGGGATGGTAGCGGCACTCAGTGAAGCTGGTCCTCCCGCACAGCATCACTAGATGACAACCATTGGTAAATACCTTGAATCAAATATCAAATTGATAAATTAAAAGAATAAAAATTCCAAATGGGTGAAAGAGCCGAGTTGAGGCTTTTGGGCGTGGGCTAACGCACTCCCTTGACTTGACTGTAGTATGTATTCATTTATTAAAATTAGAAGTACCTGACGTTATATTATTACATAAATAAAAAAAGAGAGAGAGAGGTGGTGAGCTGGGGGTGGGAATAAATATATTTAAGGCAAAAGTTACTCTTATACTACATGTGATAACTTTCTTTTTTATACACCCTTCGATAACTGTGTCATCTTTTTTTTTTCAAGTGATGGAGGCCACAAATTTATCTCTATGACATGAGATAACTTATCTCCTTTAACATGAGATTAATAAAATCCTATATTTAAATAAGTGTTTTTCTTTAAAAGAAAAAATGATGCAACGAGAGATGGGTCCTAACTTTTATTTCATTTCGTGGGCCATGGCCCATATTTGCTACCCTATAAAATTTTATGAGAATATATTTATGTCATTTCTCTCTCAAATTTCAATATATTGTAATAATATTGATGACAAAAATATGTTTATTAAGGAAAAAGTATTTGTCATTTTAAATGAGATAAAGTTATGTCATTTTAAGAGAGAAATAGACACAAGATAATTTTTTATTTAAAATTTAAATTTAAATAACCAACCACTTTCTCTCTAATATTTTTCATTTCTTGTGTCTATCTCTCTCCTAAAATGACAAACATCACACCCTTCTATTAATGGTTAAAAATAAATTAAAGTTTTTCAAATATTTATTTTTAAGAATAAATAATTAATATATTTCCTCAAGAGATGTTATTTAGGAAAAAATATCCGCTACTCCGTGGGTGATTTGTCAATGACACTTTATTTTTTTAAGCCATTAAAATTGATTTAATGGTGAGAGGTTTAAGTAATTTACATGAGGTAATTAACTTCGAATCTCAATGTCTTTTGAGAAAAACATAATAATATTTTACAAGCATTCTTTTTTTATGAACATGGAAAAAAAGTTATCATATTATCATTATTGATAACAAATTTTATATTTTTAAATTTATAGAGAATAAAAAAAATCACGCCAGAGATATGAGAAATACTTATTATTTGACTGAATTATTTTAATGACACTTTTTAAAGTAATAACAATTATATTATTGATGATCTTAACTTTTCCTTGCCATAATGGTTTATTACTAATTTGTATCAATCATAAAAGTCGTATCCTAATTAATATTTATATTAAATGATGAATAGGGGTTGGAGAGAGAATAAAATTTGGAAGGAACGAGCAAAATTATGTCATGTGACAACAGAGTCGCAGTTCCTCTACCGATCGTGTTAGAAACTGGCACATATTTTAATGTCCAAGTCCAACACAATGTCATTAATTGACCTGGAAAATACTTTTAAGGAATAAAAAAATAAGTTTTATTAATCTCCTTTCATATCAGATAATTAATTATCTTATGTGGTAGAGAAAAAATGGATGGTCCCACCATTACAAGAAAAAAAAAAAAAAAAAAAAATGGAGTACGAAAATCAAAGTAAGAGAAAATGAAATAAATTACCTCGTATAAAAAGAAAGTAATATTTCCATAAAAAAAAAATAAGTTAAGTGAGAAAAATGGCTAAAAGGGGTTGGTATGACAAACCTTCCCAACCTCACCAACCCATTACCATCATCAACCAAACAACCACCCAAAATCTCTGCTATTAATTTTTCACCAACCACCATCTGGCTCTTATTCAAAGCCTCTCAAGCTTTGCACTTTGTAAGTGAGAAGGGCACAACAATGGGTGGGGAACGTACCAAGGTCTTCACTTTGGCTGAGGTCTCTCACCACAACAATTCCAAAGACTGTTGGCTTGTCATTCGTGGCAAGGTAATGTTGTCTTTTCTTATTTTTCCTTTCTGGGTTTTCACTATTTTGTTGTTGTTGTTGTTGAAATTCTAGTGTTTTTAGTTGAATGGAATTTTCTGGGAATGGTTCGTTAGAGATTCAATTGGATTGGTTGAGATTCGCTTTGTTTTTTTGTTTTTGTTTTTGTTTTTGTTGAAATTAACTTAGTTAGAGGACTAGGATTAATTAGATCTATCTAAGGGCTGTTATTTGTTTTGATTGAGGGATTCCATCCTACTTAAAAGTGATTTTTTGTTGTTGTTTTTTATTTTATTTTATTTATATATTTATTTTTTTAAAGAAAACAAATTCCTATATGTAAGGCTTCCTGAATTGGGTGAATTGCGCATGGCTGAACGGTCGATTATACGCAGCCATATCTTACAATTACAATTTTTTGCTAAAGTGTTTCCAGAACTTTGAACTCGTCACAAGTCACAACGGTTATGTGGCAAGGTTTCTGTTTCTGTTTCTTTTTTCTTTTTTTTTTTCCAGACAGCAAAACCGTGTTTCTACCTGAAGGAAAACTATGTTAGATTTCACCTAGTCACTCATTTTAAGTCAATATAAGTTATACTTCCAATGTTGATCGTAGATCAAATTTATATCTAAAGCTTCTGATTTATTAGATACTTGAACCGTTAGATGCAAGCAAATTAATAATCAAAAATTGATATAAGACTTTTATTCTTACATTGGTGTGTGAGAATATCCTGCTCCATATATATATATATATATATATATATATATATATATGTATGTATGTATATGAGGTAGGATCCTTTGATCAAATTTGATTTCACCTGATCTAAAAACTGTTAAATCATAAAAGACCAATGATGTCACATACTTACAAATCAGAGTTGTTGATTTTTTTTTATCTAATGGCTCTCAAATGATGTGTTAAATTTCAAATTTGACACTGGTATCAAAGAATCCTACCTCTCTCTCTATACATATATAGATATATATATTCAAAGAATCCCTTTGGGCTTGAAGCGTGGACAATGCAACAGGCCCAGCCTACCGTGAACCGCGAGGCTTTGATACCATGTAAAGAATCTTGGGATACACCACCCCAAAAGCTAGCTGGGAGTGCCCAAGGCCTTATAAACTTCATATTAGTTGCACATACAACCAATGTGGGATATATATCTCAACAGATACCATGCTACATTTCATGTTCTTGATCATGATTCCATAATGGAATGTTTGAAGGTTTTTTGTTATTACCATCTTACTGAAATAAAATTGAATTTGGGTGCGATTTTTCTCAAATGGAGTGGTGACCATTAATGTTTAGGTATGTATATTAAACACACTTTCTGCTACTTTGTGTTAATCATTACCTAGAAAGCTTGAGGTGGTAAACAAGGAGTCAAGAGTAGATTTCAAACATTAGGAGTAAGTATTAAGCTTTCAGCTTGTGCTTCTTTCCTTCAAGGTTGACTTGTAACTCTGGAATCAAGAAAAATCTTTGTATGTTTCTCCATTTATATTTGTTGTATTTCGCTTCTTTCAACTTGCACATGCTTTTTATTATACAGGAAGCAAAACTTTGGATCTCTGACTTGGATTTACTCACCCTTGCCATTGTCTCTGTGCAAGTGTTCTTATCCATTTTTAATGTCTTTCTTTACTGAAATACACAGTCATAAGATGTAAGAATGGTTGGGATTCATTTCTCATTCTCATAGATCATAATCATATCTGGTGAGTATATGCTAGGGAGATACTGAGTCATGAGCCTATGGAGTTTTAGGAAAAAAAAACCATTGTGCCTTGTTTGAAGACTTGAGCTTTTAAGTAAGGGATCTAGTGTATAAAATTTAATCCAAAAGTTTTAAGAGCTAGGTCTTCAATCTGTTATTTAATTTGGAATCATGTGCTGGTGGCCTCTGTTCCCTTACCTTAAGATATCTTCTTTGGAACAGGTTTATAATGTGACAAAGTTCTTAGAGGACCACCCTGGTGGGGATGAGGTGCTGTTGTCTTCCACAGGTATTCATCGTTATCGCTGAATGCACTTAATTTTTCGTATCTCATGGTCTCAGCAAATTGAGATGTTTGTAAATGTCTTTTGATAGTTGAAAATGACACATGCTTTTGCAGGGAAAGATGCAACTAATGATTTTGAGGACATTGGTCACAGCACCAGTGCTGTAGCAATGATGGATGAGTTCTATGTTGGAGACATTGATTCATCAACCATCCCCTCTAAAGTTAAGTACACTGCTCCAAAACAACCTCAGTATAATCAGGACAAGACACCCGAGTTCATCATCAAGATCCTTCAGTTTCTAGTTCCTGTGCTAATCTTGGGTTTGGCTGTTGGTATTCGTTTCTACACCAAATCAACATAATCATTCAAACTGCAAGAGCACTTGATTATAGGCATTTGCAATAATATGTTAGTGCTGGAAGACCCCTACCTGTTTTATTCTTTCGCCCTTCAATTATGAGGGGTTGCTAGGATATTCCATTTCTATCTGCCTGATGATATTGCGCTTGTTGCCTTTTCAGCCTAATTTGCTGTTAAATATCTGATTGTGTTTCTTTGTCATTGACATGCTACAGGAACAGTTTTCTGTAGTTTAATCTTTTGAAACTTTTGCTGGTTCCTAATAAACTAATTAAAAACTTCTTTTGAAAGCATATTATCATCATGTTTCATTTTCCTGCATAAACTTTTGATCCTAGTGGTAGGAAGAAACTTCTGAAATTCCTTTTCTTTTTCCTACCTGTTTCCAAGGTTGTCAAACTCGAGATTCTACGCAAACTCAGAAGGGTGAATCAAAATCGTAATTCGCAGAATTGTAACACTGATCGTAGAATCGTAACACAGGACACAAATTATATTTATAAATATTTATATGCATATAAACTAATATAATAAGCAAATTTAATTCAACCAACCAACAAGCAATTTAATTGTTATTGGACTAATTTTATTTTTTTCCAGTAAATGTAAAACAAAACAGAGGCAAAAAAGAGAGAGTAAAAGATACGAAACGAGAAAATAGAAAAATTAGAAACGAAACGAAACACTGATTGTGTCGTTATATACTCAAGTCTTTCCTAGTTCAAGGAAGAACGACAATTCATTGGAAGTTATAGTTGTTGTGTGGTGTGAAACAAACGATGTAGAAATTAAATTGAGCAGTGGCAAGAATTGATAACAGTAAAAAACACAGTGAAATGATAAGCGAAACAACAGTTAAAAGAAGAGGAATGGATACAACTCTTCTTGTGATGGGAAAAACGTGAGAATGAGAGTGAGAGAGAGTGGGGGTACACGATGGGGAGAAAAAAAGTGAGTAGAGAAGGTGTTCATTTTGGCTTTTAGAAAATATCTGAGGGGAAAATACCTTTTTGCCCCTCCATCCTTTTCTCACTCACTTAAGCCACTTCTCTCAAAAAATAAGAGGAAATATATAACTCAAAATAATAACATGTCATGTACATATCAAAATAGCAGTTAAAGTCATGACTATCAGGTCAAATAATAACCCTCTTATGGTCTCTTGCCATGCGATGCCTTAGCACCATCAGCCAATGTACCTGAAATGGTAGTCCCCTAACGCAGGGTGAAATAATCATCTTAGCAAGCTAGGGGTCCTTGGAGGACTCCTCCACCCCCAGGTTCACTTCAGGCATAAAATAGTATAAAAATCATGTATGCATCAGAATATGTATATCCATGAATGTAAGCAATAATGAATCCTATTGGCCATAGAATACAACATATATGCATTACACAAGGAAACCCGTCTTGCAACATACCAGCGCAAGGAAACCCGTCTTGTACTATGCATAAGGAAACCTATCTTATACCTCTCGCACAAGGAAACCTATCTTGTGTGACACACAAACATACATACGTATACATGCATTATATATCAATCTTTTACAACATACCATATATCAAAGAACTATCCTCTTCCGGAGTTTAGTGGAATAGAAAGAGGATTAACCCAAAGGACTGAAAGCTTACCTCAAGTAGGCTTCCTCTTTTACACTTTCTTGTAGTCCAAGCAATCAAGCTCACAAGACTTTCACTCCAAAACACCCTATGCTTGACAACTTAAGGTCCCAAGTCCAAATGGCTTATTCACACAAGATAATGTCACCAATGCAACCTATTCAAGGTATACCTCCATTAATTCAACATGCATATTCTAATGTATTCATATGTCAACACTTTCAATTTCCAACAAGATTTAAGTTTAAGACTTACCAAATTCTTGGAAATTCAAGAATCTAAGCTTGGTCACTTGGTGGTTCTAATGGGAGTTCCTCCATCATCGTTTCACTTGGTTCACCACTATCAATTTAAACAAGCATAGACATCACCAATGATATCCATTTCCAAGACTACACATACAAGACACCTATACTTGATTTTAAGTCCTATTTATCAAAGTATTTTAAATGGCGATTTCATAATTTTTTCTTTTACGGGAACCAATTCCAAGCATGTTTAACAAAGGACATCATATACAAAATAACCTCTAACACCTCCAATCATCAAAATTTCGTGGTATTATTGACATACAACCTAATTTTCTTGAAAATTCATGAAAATGAGATTTGAGCGGGGGAAACTTACCACAACCCGACCTAGAACAAAAGGGGAGGAGTCCCCAAGCTTTCTTGCACTTGAAAAACCCTCAAAATCATCAAAATCCTCACAAACTCGTGGCTTTGAGGAAGAAATATCTCACTCCACAATGAACCCCAACCGAAAATGAGCAATGGGTTAGAAAGAGGAGAAGATGTGAAGTGATTTTGGCTATGGAGTAGTTGGATTTCGTTGTGCCTAGCTCAATCTACCAGCTTTTGAAGTTTTGCTCTTTTTTTGGTTATGGAGGAGGTAGCCTGCGGGAAGGAGAAGAGAAATGGGAAAGGAAAGTATGTCTTGGCTACTTTAAGTGGATTCAAACTAATTCAGTGGGTACAAATTTATCTACGTCGCTCACTTAACTCGATTTCTAACTTGACACATTGATTTTTAATATTTTTATAGTAATATTTACTATTTTATTTTTAACTTCCGAGCAACTTTGTCTACCCATTAATTGTAATTTTTAAACTTGTTTTACAAGATGACTTTAATTCATTTTAATTAGACTTTTCATCTATTTATTTTTTAATATTTATCATAAATTCCTTAATCCATAATTACATGTTTAAGTCATTATACCGAGAAACCATTTGCACTAACAGAGTAAGGCCATTCATGTGTGCATGATAAGTGTAAGGGGATATGTGTATTAGGGAATCATACACTCCACATGGTAAGTGTCTAATGCCTTGCCGCGCAGCCATTTGGGCTAATTGAATAAGATAAGTCGGCCGGTTCAGAACAAATATAATACTCACGAAACAAATTGTATTGCATTAAAATAAAAAGGACAAATATTCGTTTATTGAAACCCGGAGATCAAAAATATATTTGTTAAGAAAAAAAAAAACCCGATTTACTCAATTTCTCTGTCCTTTCTGAGTAATCGTTTTGGATGAATCTCTCTCTCGTTTGTTTTGCGTTCAAGCCTTCAAGGAAAAAAAAAAGGAAGATAAAATAAAGAGCTTCGAAAACCAGAATCATGTCTGTGTTTGCATGCGGGCTCTGTTTGCTTCAAGTATTTGAAGACGATTACCGGTAATCCTTCTTTGGTAAATGTAATTATCAAGTTTGGTAGAAGGAATAAAAATCAATTCTCGGATATCCAAGAATTACCGGTAATTTGATTTATAAAGAAAAGTCACTATTCAGATTACCACAAAAAATAATATGGTAATTCGGAATACCAATCAGAATATCAAGTAAAGGGAAAGCACAATAATAAATTTTGAGACAAAAATACCCCAATATACATAAAAATCTAGACCCAATCTATTAATTACAAAAGTAAAAATAGTTTGGGGTTATTTTTGTAAAATAACCTCATATTCTAAGTCATATTTCGTTCTAAACCAAACATGAAATCAGTAATTTTTACTCAATATTTCCGGTAATATTTTGGCGAACCAAACACCTCTTTCGTAAGATTCCAAGTAAACTCAATTTCTACTGTATTCCCATTAATCATGATTTCCGGATACCAAAAAATTTCTCTTGTAAAACACACCCTAATGGTACACATAGATAATGGACATTGACATCATTCGTACTTGGCTTTCTTCCACCCAACATAATGAATTAGTAAGCATAGGCATAGCCAACCAATTTTCTTTTTCTCCATATAATATATTTTATTAAAAAGAATTAATATTTCTCATATTATAATATATAATTTTATCTCTTATGTACACATAAAATATGTAGTTCATGTTTTATTTTTCTTTCTTTTCTCCTCACATGACCCTCCATGAGCCCCATTTACTTTTATATGATAAGGGATTAAAGTTTTTTATGTTATAACAGATAAAATTATCTCCTACAATATGAAAAATATTAATTCCTTGGAAAAAAATTATATTTACAAACTTTTTGTTTACAAACTCTTACAAACTACATTATGTCTGACTGATAATACACTCTTGAGTAGTGTATTACCGATCAGACATAATGTAATTTATAAATTTTAATTTTTTTTATCAATATAACCTCACTCAATCCCTTATTACAATTCCTTCATTGCACTTTCATTCCTCAACGTTGTTTACTTATTTAATATGTTATCACTCTCTTGACAAAGACTAATTTATTCCGAAAAGATATTATGCTACTTGTCACACCTTTCTCCTTAAATTATTAGATGAGTTGAAATCCCATTTTAATTTTTTGTACTTAACTAAAGTTTTACAAAAAAATCTTTATAAATTTGTGTCAACGTAATTTCCATTTGATAAATTTATTTTCCACCACAAACTTACCATTATTAATGTGATTTTTAAAGCTTTAGTTTATTTACTCGTATCATCCTAGCATATCAAGGGGTTTCTGTTGGATATGTAAACTAGCTGTGTTTATAGAAAAAATAACAGCATGTGGTAGGAGATCAGTGTGCACAAGAGGCTCAAAGCCAAAAGGCATATGTGTGTGCACAATGACCGCTAGAAAGGTTAGGGTTTCCAAAAACATACATATTAGGCTTAATCTTTTATTTATAAAGAGATTTTACTCGAAGAAGGGTAAGATTCATTTAAATTTTACTTGAAAGTGGATAAGACCCATTTAAAATTTACCTAAAGGTGGATAAAGCTCATTTCACAAGGTAAAAAGAGGGCTATTGTACGAGTCCAGCATGTTACTCAACTCCTTTTTAATTTATTTATTTATAAATTTTTAGGTGTTAATATGTAATTTGTTGGGGTGGTTCCTTTTTTAACGCTGTTAGATGAGCATGCATCACATTTATGGGTGTATGGTTCAATATTTGCCCAACCACCTTAATGAATCTTGCCCACTAATAATTGAATAAGATTCTGGAAAAAGGTGAAGGTTCCCCTCAAGTTATAAATACACACGAAGACCTTTTGTAAGAGGTTAAAGAAAGTGAGTGAAAAGCTGGGAGCTTAGAAGTTGAGGGTACCTCTAAAGAAAAGTTTGAAAAGTGACATATTTAGAGAAGTTTGAGAATTCCATCATTGTTAATGATGCTTGAGTGTACCTCTA